ATAAGAGAGATGGCTCAGGTAGCTATCCAGGTGAGGCTAGTGCTACAAAGCCTGCTGGGAAGTTTACTTTCAAATGTTTAATATAGCAGCTTGGAATATTAGGGGTATAAATGGACCCCATAAAGCAGAGAGAGGTAGTGAGGTTTGCTAATGAAGAAAATATTACAATTTTGACCCTTTGGAGACAGAAGTTAAGACAGTTACTGCAGATACAATTTTTGCATCTATGTTTCCTGATTGGTGTTATGAGAGCAATTACAACTACATCGAGGTAAAGTTTGGATCTGTTGGGATCCAGGGTTTGCAAGTGTGAGCGGTATTACGAAGCCTGATCAATGGATTCATTGCATGGTGTCTGGTTGTGACAACATTATGCCTTTTGCTGCATCTTTTGTCTATGCCCTAAACAAGTATAGGGACATAAAGTCAGTCGGTTGAAATTGAAGATTTGGTGGTTTGAGGGTTTTATTGCTATTGTCCTAAACAAGTATTGCCCTATTGCCCTAAAAAAGTATTATTTGGGATTTTATTGCTATTAGGTATCCTCATGAAAGATTTGGTGGACAGGATTCTTGGCCACCTAAAATGGAAGAGTTTAATGACTATTTGCTTAAATCAGATTTGGAAGATCTTGGGTACTTTGGCCATCAGTTCACTTGGTCAAATAAGCAAGAGAGGGGTGAGTATATCTCCACAAAAATAGATAGGTTGCTTGTCAATGAGGAGTGGGTCACTAAATTCTGTTATGTGGCTGCTGAATTTGCTGCACCCAAGTTGTCAGATCACACTCTTCGGCTATCCTGCATATGAAGTTAGAAGAGGGAGGATCAAAGAAGCCTTTCAAATTTTTAGACTGTTGGGCAGCGCGTTATATGTTTATTCCTTTGGTGGAGGTGGTGTGGAACCAAGACACTCAGGGAACTCCTATGTTTCAAGTGTGCCACAAACTTAAGAAGTTGAAGGTAGAACTTAAGATCCTCAATACCAAGGTGTTTAGTGATCTGTCTAGAAGATTGGATGTTTTGAGGGCTAAGTTGATAAGGTGCCAGGGGGATCTTGACAAGAATCCACAGCATGTAACTCTGCAACAACAAGAAAGGGGAATGTTAGAGGTTCATGGAGGCTAGCAGGGCTGAGGAGAGCTTGTTGATACAAATGCCCAGAATTGAGTTGCTAAATTTGGTGGACCAAAATAAGTTTTTCTTTAAGACCATCAACAAACTAAGAATTAGAAGCAGAATGATAATGGCACAAAAATCTTTGATGAAGTAGAGATTGTGAAGTTCTATCAGAATCTGTTGGGTCCTCATGGTGACTCTTCCTAAGCAGTTGATTCCATCAGAAATGCAATTACAAGGAAGCTAAATGGCAAGCAGGATGCTTGAAATAGATTTTACTGAAACTGATATCAAGGATGCTTTGCTCTTGGGCTGGATGCATATTACGATGGGTTTTAAAAAACCTTGGGGAGTAGTAGGAGATGACATTGTGACTATTGTTTAAAGTCCTTTTTTTTGTATCTGGTTGCATGCTGAAAGAAGCAAATAACACTCTCATTTCACTGATCCAAAGGTCCCAAATCCTTCTAAGAAAAGTGACTACAAACCTATCTCTTGTAATATTGCTTATAAATGTATTGCTAAATTGATTGCTAACCTTATAAGAAAAGTGCCGCCTTGTCTACTTGATCCAGCACAATCAGCCTTTGTGCAGGGACACACATCCAAGAAGCATCATTGAAATGTCTTATATTAAGAACTTCTGTTTTTGAATTAAGTCATGTTTCCAGAAGTGTCTAGAAGTGTTGGCTCCTCCCTAAAGTGTCCATGGTACTAAGAAGACAGATAGCTAGACTGCATGCATTGGAAAAATATTGCCTTATTTTCTCAACATTTTCTTCACTCCCTTCAAGCAATAAGTTTCTATCAACTAATAAGGCAAAGCATGCCATACAACCCATACCCACATCACATATACTTATATTCTAGAGTTTGCATAGGATCATCTAACACAAAGTACGTTTGAGGTACCGGCATGAGATGCACTATTGCAAAATATGGTCCAAATACCAATACAATACATGGTATAATACCAAGACAATACATGGTCAAAAATCATTAATAAAATTGTTTATTCTTATTCTCCTAACTATAAATTTTACTTGTGCTCTAATTATGTTTTCAGAAAATGGGACTTTCCTAAACAGAGGCATAAATCACTTAGCCACAGAGTTTGTTGTATCTAAAACCAAGATCATAAACGTCAGGAGGAAGCTAGATGAACCCTCTGCAGTCAAGCTACATTCTTGTCATGCCTGCACTACTAGACCACAAGATCAAGTCCAGTATTGTAATATTCTTCGATCCACCCGAGAATGTGTCACCTTCATTTACCTTGATTACAAAATATAATCAAACTCTTAGTTCTCAACATGTCCAATCACCTACAATGGTTGAAGAACAAATTTTGTATCTAGCATGCAAGAACTCAATAAAACGCCTAAAATCGCACATTTGATTTGACGCAAACAAATGGCAATCGTACCCTATATAAACACGTACGGAATTTATAAATATAGGTAACCGGGCAGTTCTCTGATCTTCACAAAAGTAATCTTGCGTACCGGAGGTCAAAGATACGCTTTACACCGGAACAAACTTCACCAGAGCTCTCCGCCGGCTCTCTTCCCACAGTCCTAGTTGCCACGTCAAAAAGCGATCTATACACATTTAAGTGAACTGCCCGTAATTCTCGGGATACTCTTCTAAGGAGTACAACATTGTATACCAAATAAATCGACAAAATTGGCAGAAAGAAAAGGAGGGACCAAACAAGGTACCAGAAAATCACCTCAGTGTAATAACTCTCCAACTGCAAAAGCATATCTCTCTTATCTCTCTCCACCGACAAATATCTGAGGCTGGACCCAGATATATAGACAGCTGTAAATACGGAGATTCGGAATTTAAAATTTGAATTCCCGCCCATTATTGTTCATTCACGCGGAATTCTGTGCACCTTTGCTTTATCTCCAAGCAAAACCACCACGATCGTGACACGTGGGTGGACAGGATCCGACAGAGGTAACAGATCCTGTAGAAGTGTTCGTATAAAAGATTTGGAGTTATTTATAAAAAATGGAAGGAATAGGGTTACCTCTGGAAGTTAATTGGCATTTGTATAGGGTACAATTGCCATTTGTTTGAACATGTACGATTGCCATTTGTATTTGGCAAGAATTCTTACATGTTCAAACACGTACGGATCCGTATTTGAAAAATACGGAGAATTCCGCTGTCTATACGGAGAATTCTTGTTCAAACACGTACGGAATTCTTGCCAAATACGTATTTGTTCAAACACGTACGGAATTCTTGCCAAATACGGAGAATTCCGCTGTCTATAAACACGTACGGATCCTGGCCACATCTACTCACACCACTCACACCAAATAGTGATTACTATTTGGTGTGAGTACGGATTTAATCTCCACCTTACACGTCACCATCCGTACGTCCATCGACGGATGAAATTGCCTATCGGGTACAATTTCAACAGGGAGGGCGCTAGTAATATTATATATAGCGCCCCCCCAGCTGGTGTGACCTCCCCCCTATATAAAGCCTCGACAAACAACATTCACACCTGTGTAAGTTAAGTGTTAATCACTAAATAAGCTAAATAATGCCTCGCCAAGCCTCTTTCCGTTTTTATGCAAAGAATGTTTTCTTCACCTACCCACAATGCCCATGCCCAAAAGAACAACTCTTAAAACTCCTCCAATCTCTTCTCTAACTAGCCTGTCAGCCATACTACATACTTGTCGCAAGGGAGCTCCATGAAAATGGAAACCCTCACCTTCATGCCATGGTTCAATGCACGAAGAAGATCCAAACCTCCAACCCGAAATTTTTCGATCTCACTGGAACCAATGGGAGGATCTACCATCCAAATATAGAGAAACTCCACTAGCCAACAGCAAGTCGACAGTATATACAGAAAGGGGGCGAGTTCGTCGAATGGGGAGAATTTTCATCTAAGGGGAGAAGTCCTTCAAAAAACAGAGACGAACTCTGGAGGGAAATACTTGGCGAAGCAGAAACGGAAGAACAATTCTTTACTCTCTGTAAAGAAAGATGTCCCACCGATTACGTCACAGAATATCCCAAATTAAAAACATTTTCCAGGGATCATTACAAAAGAGAGAGGCCCCCATATACTAGCCCTTTTAATTCATTTCCTTTTTTAAATGAAGAAATAAAAAAATGGACAGAAAATAATATTTTGTTTATAAGTCGAAATTGCGTTCAGTACGAGTTATGTCAAAATTGCTGTCTTTCCGTTTGGAGGGAAGACGATTTCCTTAGATTAGGGATACACAAAAATAATATAAACAATTTATATACTGACGAAGAACTCTCCTCCTCTTCTGATAACAGGAACCAGAGCAGAGGCCCATCCGCCCCAACAGTTTATTTTTAGAACTTTTCTACTTTCAATGTGTTTCAGTCCTCCAAATGGACAACTAGTTTTAATTACCGAACAGGAGCTTCATAGTTTCACTATTATATACAAATAATATTTGCAATCTCTGATCTATCTCGCGCAGAACTTAAGTCAAGAAGGCGGAATCTAATTCAGTTCCTTGAAACTCTTCAGCACTTAAAAGATTTTAAATCACAAACTTCACATATACGCAAACAACACCCTTTTCAAAATGAAAGTACAAATTATAAAGCAAACCATTCTATACCTAAATTCAAGTTCCTCACTTTCTTCAATTTTGCATAAAAATATGATGATAACAATCTGATGAAAAGGTAAATATCTGATTCTAAATAACCAATTAATATCAGAGTTTACCTTCATAAGCCTTTTTACTTCTCCACCAAGTAAAATATAAAGCAAAGCAAACCATATGTCAATTCAAGTTGCTCATTTTATTCAATTCGACACGCAACAGTAGTTTTGTAAACTATAAACCAAAGCATAAACCAACATTTCCAGGGAATTATACGAGAAAAATATAATAAACAACAGTATCAAACAATTCAAGTCTCAGCAAATAGAACAATAAAGCAAAAACATTTTATCACAATTCATCATGTTTGCCATTAGAAAACATCATCCATTCATACAGTTTGCAACCCATAATTTCATACACAGATATCCAATTACCCAACTAAGATCAATTAAATCTTTTACCAGTCTTAAGCCTTTGAACTCGGAGACGCTAGCGAGACATCGTTGAGCCGCTCGAGAGCCAAAATGAGTGCTTGGGTGCCCAAATCACCTTCCCCATAAGCCTTGAGAGAAAGATAAAGCTGTTGAGCTAATGCCAATCCAGGCAAAGCGAGTCCCATATTCTGACACTCGTTCAAACAAATCCCCAAATCTTTCACAAAATGATTCACAAAAAACCCAGCTTCAAAATCCCTATTCAAAATCCTAGTCCCATACAAATCAATCGATTTCGAACCAGCAGCACCAGTGGAAATCGCATCCAAATACAGAGACAATTCGAGTCCAGCCTTGTGAGCATAAATCAAACCCTCCACTAACCCTAGCATCGTTGAAGCGATCGTGATTTGGTTCGCGAGCTTCGCGAATTGGCCTTTGCCGGGACCCCCCATGTAATAAACTTTGCCGAGGAGAGAGAAGATCGGAGAGAGGCGGCGGACGGCGGATTCGTCGCCGCCGGCGAAGATAGAGAGGGCGGCGTTCTTGGCGCCGCGATCGCCGCCGGAGACGGGGGCGTCGACGGAGGAGCAGGAGATGGAGGAGGCGGCGGAGGAGATTTCGACGGCGAGGGAGGGGTCGGAGGTGGTCATGTCGACGACGGCGCCGCCAGGGCGGAGGCCAGAGAGGACGCCGGATGAGGGGTGGAGGATGACGTGGCGGACGTCGGAGGGGTAGCCGACGATGGAGAAAACGACGTCAGATTGGGAGCCGACGGAGTGAGGGGTGGGGGCCCAGTGGGCGCCCAAGTCAAGGAGAGGTTGGGCTTTGGATTGGGTTCTGGTGAAGATGGTCAGGGTGTAGCCGGCTTTGATGAGATGGCCGCACATGGACCGGCCCATCACGCCGGTGCCGATCCAGCCCACACGGGTGTTCGAGGGACTGATTGGCTCGGCGGTGGTGGTGGTGGCCATGGAGCGGCGGAGATGGGTGGTGGATGGAATTGGAAGGAGGGCGTGGAAGTAACAGCGGTGGTGGTGGAGTGAGCGAAGTGGGAGTGACAGCCTCATTCTTTCGTTTTATCCGATCAAGTCGTAATTTTTGTCCAAATCCGGGGTTCATTCTAGGAATACTGAAAGACTGGCAAAAGAATAAATGGTGATTCTATTTACCACACTATAAATTAATTTAGTATCCGTCACTATTTAGGTTTCGTTTGGCGAGTAATGATTTTAGTTAAAAAATTAAAAAATTATTATAAAAATTAAAAAGTTAATAATTTATATTAAAAAATTAAAAATTTACTTTTCTTTTTATTTTTTATATATTTTTTCATAAAAAAATTAAAAAATCATCTTAAACATACTAATTTTTTTTATATTATATTTAAAAATGTACTTTTCTTTTTATTTTTTATATATTTTTTCATAAAAAAATTAAAAAATCATCTTAAATATACTAATTTTTTTTATATTATATTTTAACTAAAATGTTAAAAAATTAATAAAAAAATTTGTTTCCAAAAGAGACTTTAGTTCACACCATAGACAAATTAAACCTTTTAATTTGGTCTCAATACACGCCATAAATTTTTTAATAATACGAAATTACCATCATTTTCTCGAACTAATCCTAATCCTTACCCTAACCCTTGCCCACCAAATTCTAACCCTTACCACCATCATCATTAAACACCACCCCCTCTGGTCGTCGCCTCCTTTAGCCTCTCTTCTTTCTTGTTACAGTCCCTCTCCAATCTCTCTTCCCTTCCGTCGTTGCCCATACTCTCTTTAGCCCTCCTCACCTTTTTTTTCTTCTAAACAAATGATATTAAACCCTAAATCTTGGGTTTGCGGCGGCTTCAATTGCGGGTTATGGCGGTGGCGTCGATCACGAGTTGCAGCGGTGGTGCAAATTTCAAATGAAAAAAAAAAAAAGAAGGACGTGAAGAAGAAGAAGAAGAAGAAGAAGAGAGAGAAAATGAGGCATAATTGGGATCGAGAAGGCAACGGTCGCAGGAGTTTGGGATTGGAAAGGCAACGGTCACGGGAGCTGAGGGCTAGGGAGCAACCTAGGGAGTATGATGGTTAGTGCTGGTATGTAAAAAAATTAGGGTTATGATTTTGTCTAAAAAGATAATTTAATTAAGGGATAAAATTGTAATAAAAAATTATTGAAACATGGTGAGTACTGAGTAAATAAGTAGTGTGTAAATAGAATTATCCAAGAAAAAGAATGTGTTTAGTGGCTGATAAAAAAATAAAGATATTGAAATTTAATTTAATGGTCTAATAGTTATACGAGTGTAGTGAGGGAAGGTCAAGTATTTCAATTGATGGAGCAACAACAAACTCTTTTCGTTATAATTTAACTAACAAAAAGCCCATGCTACACATGGAATAACTATTTTTAAATATAAAATATTATAAAATAAAAATAAATCATTGTATTTATTCAGACTTTATAAAACAATTTCTATGAAAACAACAATAGTTTAATAATTTTAATATTAAAATTTAATTGTTAAAAATATGTTAAATTTTATTAAGGACTGTTATATTCTATATTAGTTAAATGAATTGTCTACTGAGAATATTTGATACAAGGGCATCAATCGGGTTAGAGTTAGATTGAGTTAAACTACATAAAAAGATTATGTGTCAAGTCGACCCCAACACAACATCAGAATTAATATAGTCATCATAAACCCAACTCGAAAAAGATTTCTAACTCTTGAGAAGTATCGCTTTGTCCTATAAATTATAAAGCTATACAAATGGACTCCCTAAATTGTTAGCGTGTGGCATGTTTTGCTTTGACCCCTTTTATTAGAGGGTCCAACTGATACACTTTTATAGTTTATGGAGTCCATTTGTACAGTTTTATAATTTAAGGGGTAAATGATATTTCACAATATATAGTTTAGGGGTCAATCTGTACACTTTTATAATTTAGAGGGAAAGTGAAATGAAACCCCTTCCGTTAAGGGGGTCCAATTTACATGCTTTTATAATTCAGAGGTCCATTTGTACAGTTTTATAATGAGTTAATTATCTAAAAGTCCTATTTACAATTATTATAATAGCTCAGGTTTTATCTAAGATTTTTTAAACCAATAAATCCTATTAGTAAAATTGGGAATATTATCAGTTTTTCTTAATTTTTAAAACTAAAAGCATTATCAATTTTGCATAGTAATGTTTCAGATAATTGTTTCACTAACTGGAAAAAAAAAAAAAAAGTATGAGATTAAACGTTTTTGCCTTTTTACTTATTGGTTTGATTCAACTATCCAATAAAATCAAGAATATTATCAGTTTTTTCAATTTTAAAACTACGAACATTATCAGTTTTTTCATTTTAAATTTTTTTTTTCTTTCAATTTTGCGCATCAATGTTTCATCATCATGCTCCTTTATAAACACAAAATTTCCAGTTTTGTGAAAAAAATAATTTTGTTTTTTCAATTTTTTTAGGAAAAAAATTATAATTTTTTTTTTTAGTTTTTTCAATTTGAAAGTCGATATTTTAAAGTTTTAAAAACTAAAATAAATGTCAAATCATCTTATTCCTTTATAAATAATCATAAATGATGAACAATCATTGTTTGAAGGGCAACTCCTTCTATTAAAAATTTAATAGGATTTGAAGGTCCAAAAAATCTTAGTTAGAATTAATGGAGTATAAGTTCATAAATTAGGACTTGTGTGTAAATACCCCTTTTATAATTTAAGGAGCAAAGTGATACTTCTCAATATATAGTTTAGTAGTCCATTTGTACACTTTATAGTTTAAACTGATATTTTTCAATAGTTTAGAAAGTCTTCATGCAAATAACCCTAATTATAAATGTACCTAAAATGTAAAATTTGTGAAGAAAATTGAAAAATAAAAAATCAGTAAAAATAAAAAGGTCAAAAAAAAAAAAAAAACACATTTTTCGTAGTGTTTTGTTTTTAGTAATTTATTTATTTATTTATTTCATAAATATCTTAATTTGATGTACTTGACTGAAATGTGAAAACAAAAAACAAAAACAAAAAATCAAAAATCAAAAATAGTTTTAAAAAATTAAACCAAACAAATTAGATAAGTGTATTTTTAATAAAAATAATTAATTAGTTTTTCATAATTTTTGTTACATATGTACTTTCTATATAAGAGTTTAAAATACAATTTTAAAAATCTTTCTATATTAGTCATTCCCTATTGTTTTTCTTAAATTATGTTATTATAATTGTAACGTAATATTATTTGACGCTAATTCCTTGTAATATTTGCAAATAATTCTCAATTTGAAAAAAGAAACCCTACACCTAAATCTTTCTATATTTTAAAATAAAATTTTGAAAATCATTACATAGTAATCTTTGGAAACAATATAATTAAAGAAAATTTGTAAAGTCATTATTAATGAATATAATTAAATTTGTAAAGTCATTATTAATAGATATAATTAAAGAAAATTTACAATTTTGAAAATCATTCCATATTAATTTTTGAAAACAATATAATTAAAGGAATTTTGTAAAGTCGTAATTAATGAATATAATTAAAGAAAATTGATAAAGTCATTATTAACGGATTAATTGTCTTTTGTAGGTGTAAGGCTTCCTTTTTCAAATTGAGAATTATTTGTAAATAATACAAAATGAATTATTTTCAAATAATATTACATTGCGATTATGGCAGTACATTTTAATAAAAAAAATTATATTAACAATTATCATATCTAAAATAATTAGATTTATATAAATTTAAATTTTAAACTCTCTAAAAATGTCACTTTTTTTCCCCCCAAAACAGTAACATTTCTAGAGAGTTTAAAATTTAAACTTAAATTTATGTAAATTTAATTTTGGACAATAATTACAAGACATAATGATACGTGGAACATTTAGCGGTGTAAAATTTATATCAAAAAGAAAAAAGTAAAAACATTCGTCTCCTTTGTAATTATTGTCCAAAATTATATCGAAAAGTAAAAAATGAAATGATTCATCTCTTAGTTTTTAATTTATTTAAAATAATTATGTCTTATAAAATATATGTTAAACCAAACACTTTCATACAAATTCTTAATATATATATATATATACTATATTCAATACATGCGAAATTAAACTATTTTTTAAAAAAATGTCTGGAGACAATGTAATCCTAAATATAAAAAATTTACTTTGACTTGCTAATTTTGCACAATTTTACTATACTTAAACTTAATCATGATTGATTTTTGAAATTTGCTAGAGTCATGGATAACTTGTTGCTAATACATAAATTTAAGCAATTTAAAAGTATCTCTTTTTTTTTTTTTTTTTTGATTCAAAAGAAAAGATTACAGGAAGGAAAGAAACAAAAACTAGAAGCCTAAAAGAGGCCTAAACAGACTTAAGCCTTTTCACAGGATAAACCAACAATGTCTGCAACAAGCAGAGTAGCAAGATCATTTGGAGGGTCGTCTAGAACTACTAGGTTTTCTCCATGGTGTACTCCCAGATTTGCAAGTTGTAGACGTCCCCCGAACGCCCCGGGAGGAACGAGTCCCCCGTTCCGTTCGATATTGGGCTCACTACAGTTCGGACTCTCAATTTTGTCACGATTCTAAATCTGAACCAAAGAGTCCAAATCCGACAAATCGTTTTGAGAAAACAAATTTTGAAAGAAGTGCCAAACATGGACTGCTTTGCCAGATACAGAGTCGCTACCTAAATATTTTATTTTTGGGAAATTTAGGAAACCCTGACTCGTTGCCGAAAGGCCACGTGTCCGTCATCACCAAAGTTGCCTCGGCTCGGGAACTTGGGTACGATTGGAGAAGGTCACTTCGTGAGCACCCCTGCTCGCCCGATCAAAGATCGGCTTCTACTAACCATGATATCTATTTTTGAAAATATTATGCGTTCTTATTCCGATTATTAGCCTAGATTTACTATGTGATGCGCACAGCATACAAGTATAGACTGGGTCGCCTGAATTGGAGCAAAACATTTCATGTTTGTTTATTTGAAAATGGTTTGATGGTGCTACCCGCAAGTAGGCTAAGACGTGGATTTGTCACCCTCGGGTGGGCACAGGCAAAAATGATTTTCCACTATCTAGTGGGCTTAAAACATACAGTGAATGAATTGTTCCAA